AACTCAATTGAGAATTTTAACTATAAATAGTGTGCAATTATTCCACAATTTACTTCCAAAGAATTTTACACGGCAACTTTCATATACTCCTAGTATATTTTTCTTAAAAGCTCGTTTGATCAATCGAGGTAAGATACATTTGTGCAAGTCGATTTTTCCATATACTTTTATGTTCAATAATTTATGCATAAATTGACAGTGGACTTTTGGGTTCGACCTAACGAAATGTGAAATTTTTCGAAAAAATTCAAAATGAGAAATAATGGATATCTCGTTTGGTCACCGATACATCCCATAAAGAGAAATGTGGTATGAATTGTCTATGTTATTGTTATGTAATTGCGTATGAAAACTGCGCGTATCTTACTTGGTATTTTTTTTAAATACTCACTCTTACTATAATTTTTCAGGTTAGTGCAGATAGATTGGAACTGTGACGAAATGGTGCAATGGACTGCCAAGCGATTTCGACATGTGAAAGACACTAAGTTTTACTGCCTTTAGATTTATTGGTTCAAATTGTTCAAATATTATTATTGAATTAGTTAGTTAAGAATGTATATATTTTTTCTAAAAGATACGATTTCATAATTTAAATTTAAGTTTACGAGTGTTCCAATATTTTGTTTATTAAAGAATTCTATGTTTTTCGTTCCGCAAAGAAATTGAATTTATGGTAACGCCCCAGCGTTTGTAAAATATTTGGGGTGTTACAGTTTGGTATCAGAATAAAGGTTTTGCCTACCTATAAACTTTGTAAAAAAAAAAAAAAAATTACGGATTTATTTTCTTTTCTTCTAAATGATTGATATTAATGATGTTTTAAAATTTATATTTTAAGAAATCTCAAGTTTTATTTATTGTTGAGTTTTCTTAATTTGAGTATTCGCAAGATTGAAAGGTTTTGTCAAAGAGACTTGAGTTATCTAAGAAGAGTTTGGGATTTAAGCGGTTTGTTTGTGACTCCTCATCTGAAAACCTTTTGATTATACGTTATTCAAATTAATAAGACGAAAAACGATATTTCAAAATATTCCAAATTTAAGAATATTCTATTTTCTTGAAACTTTCATTTTGAAAAAATCCTATTTTTGAAAATTTCTGAAAATGGGGTATTTTCATAAAATTTAGAAGTTTAAAGATAATGTAAAAATTTTAAAATTTTAAATAGACAATGTTATAAAGAATCATTGGCATGTGGCGCTCGTTATTCGACACTCGCCAATCGATCTCAAGGTATGAAATGAAATGTCGTTCATTTATAATGATTATGAATTTTCTTGATTTATGTTATGATATATTGTATTATGTCAATGGTCAAGTATTTAGAACTTTTCAAGTAGCTAAGATAATTTCGAAGATGAAATTTTTTTGAAGGAGTGGAAAATTTTAAATATACAATGTTATAAAGAATTCTTGGCATGTGGCGCTCGCTATTCGACGCTCTCCAGTCAATCTCAAAGTATGAAATGAAATGTCGTTCATTTATCATGATTATGAGTTTTCTTGATTTATGTTATGATATATTGTATTATGGCAATGATCAAGTATTTAGAACTTTTCAAGTAGTTAAGATAATTTCGAAAACGAAATTTTTTTAAGGAGTGGAAATTGTAATACCTCGAAAATTTTAGAATAAAATTTTATTTGTTTTATATAGTATATTTTATTATTTTGAAAAGTTGAGGGACTAAAGTGAAATAAATTTTAAATTCCTGTCTTATTTGAGCCAAATAATTATGTATCGATAGTGATAAATATTGATTTTGATAATGATTATCTTTTGTGATTTTGATAGAATTTGATTGCAATCTTAATTTGATAATATTTAAAAGTAATCATAACTCTATTTTTGAAATCAATTCTTATCCAAATTCTTTATATACATCGTTTTAAATTCTAGTTGCATACAAACTCAATTGAGAATTTCAACTATAAATAGTGTGCAATTGTCCCACAATTTATCTCCAAATAATTTTACAAGGCATCTTTCATATAAAGCAGTAGTAAATTCCTAGTATATTTTTTTTCAAAAGCTCATTTGATCAATCGAGGTAAGATACATTTGTGCAAGTCAATTTTTTCGTATACTTTTATGTTCAATATTTTATGCATAAATTGCCGGTGGACTTTCGGGTTCGACCTAACGAAACGTGAAATCCTTCGGGAAATCCAAAATGAGAAATGACGGGCATCTCGATTGGTCATCGATATACTCCATAAAGAGAAATGTGGTATGAATTGTCTATGTTATTGTTATATAATTGTGTATGAAAATTGCACGTATCTTACTATGTATTTTTTTTATTTAAAATACTCGCTCTTACTATAATTTTTCATGTTAGTGAGGATCTATTGGAACTGTGACGAAATGGTGCAACGATCTGCTAAGGGATTTTGACATGCGAAAGATACTAAG